TTTATTATTTTTTAGATTTTATATATTTTTTTTATTTTTTTAAAATACGGGCTGATCATCAAAACCGCTCGAAAACATAACTGACAAGGGGCTGGTTCCAATCCAGTTTGACAGTTACCGGTTACCTCACCCGGTTTTATACAAACAACACTCAAAATGAAAAGAGCATATACAACATGCTCCAGCGAGGGCAATAACTCTGTCCGACAATAGAGTAACTGGCGATGACTTTTTCATCCAAAATTAGGATCCACCTAAGTACCATTAAATTATTGTTTTCAGTAAAAAATTGTATTTTAGGTTGAGAACCTAGATATTGCCCTTTAGAAATTGTATGATTCGCGTTCAATATTGAGATATTAATTTTTTTGAGGCATCTAGAAAAAACCAATTGACTTTGTCCTTTTTTTTTTATATGTTTTTCTTCTCTGGTGGTTATTAGGCTTTAGAGGCTACATTCCCAAAAATTGAGGTCCAAAAAATTCTGTTAATATGAGTTTTACCTGAGGGAGGAAATACACAGTATGCTCCCCTGAGAGCAGCAAAACAATTAAAAATAGTTATAATTCATATATTCACTTGCACATAGTATATAACCATGATTTATGCAAAAGTTGAAGCTTTTATTTGGGTTTTAGTTCGGCAAGGGTGTTAACGTTGGATCAACTAAAGAAGAGATGGTACATAATGGTGAATACATGCATGATTTCGCAAAAATGATGAAGAGGAAGAAGATCACCTTTTAATTGTAAGTGTGGTTTGTATAATACTGAGGCCCTAGTAATTGGTGTTCTACAAATAGAGGGAGCCGTGGATCTAAGATCTCTTTGGAGGGAGATTATTGATGCTACATGTACCTTAGAGGTTTCTTCCAAACATGTCTGATTCGGAAGCTGATCATTCAGCCAAATAAGAGTTTCTTGTTTGGAGCTGGATATTCTTTGAGAACGGTTGCAATTTTGGAATTACGAATAAAACATCGTAATATTGGTAATCTAAATCCAACAAAAATGTTATCTTTTTAACAATTTTTACTTCCAGATTTTTAAGTGGAAAAGTATACGAAGTGACTAATTTATCATTAGTATAACGAGGTCATGATTAATATTGATTATTAGATGTGAAATTAAGTGACAACATTTATTTTATTGATCAAGCTCAAAGTTCAAAATAACTTCTCTCGAACTTTGTGAGACACCCAAGTTATCAAATGTCAGTTATAAGTAAGGGCAAGCTTTTTATGTTTCCCCTATAGCATAGAAGTTATATCCTCCCCCTTATCCAACCAGCCATTCTGAATGGAGGGTTAAGATTGTCCCGATCACAATGTCACGTCTCTACATTATTTTTTTTTAAATTTATTTCTATGAACTATTTTGATACTAAATTTTGGAAGTCCATTCCTCTACTAAACTCGCACTGCGGAAAATATAAATTTTTTTTTTTCAATATAATAAAATGACCAAAATACCCTTGAAAATTTCAAAGGATATTTTGGTCATTGTATTTTATCGAAAATTTATTTTTAATATTTTTTATAGGTGCGCCCCAATGAGAAGATGACACGTACCAAATTTCATATTCATACAATTTGTATAAAAAGGTCTAAAAATAAAATACTTTGAGACGTCGGATCTACGATCAAACGGTGAGTGATTTTCTTGATCAAAATTGGACGACTAGATAGTAGGGGGAGGATAGAACTTCTATGCTGTAGGGAAAACATATAAACCTTTCCCTATAAATAATTGTGACCTCCTTGTACTGACTGTAAATAACCTCATTGTATACATTCCCTTTTTAAATACTGACCATTTTCCTTTCAGAATGAGCTTTGCACTTGCATAATAGTGCGAATAATTCATTCACTTAATACACATACTCGATTTCAATGATTTTCTCTTGGTGACCAATATTACGAGACTCAATCGAGTCTACTTGAACTGGGCCTAATCCACTTAAACTTAGCCAAGTTCCTCAGCCTTGCCCTATAGCCTTGCCCATAGGGCAGGGAATGAGTTACCCCGAGTTTTGTATATAGCTCGATGCTAATAAAAAAGTACATTAAAAATAAAAAAATAAAAAAGCATAGGATTGTTGTATAATCTTTTATATATATTTTAGATTTTTAATAAATTTGCTGTGTTATTTTTGCCATAATCCCTATTTTTATATGTTTCTTTATTTGGACTTTTTTTTAAAAAAATATCCTAGGCTATAAATCAATTTATTTAGGTAGATTTTTATATTTTAAACTAAATTGAATTTTTTAAGTTTACTTTTGGTATTATTGAACTTTTATTACATTTGTTTATTTTTTTTAAATTTTGTATTTTTAAAAGAAATTATTCTAAGACTCTTTGCTCTATAGAGTATACTTTCCACTGTGGGGAACAACGTGACCTCTTAGTTAGGGTGATTTTTGTGGTTATATATGCATAAAATGATTTTGACTCGTGAGGTGGAAGGAATGAAAATGTCAAGATACGTTTCATTTTATATACCATGAACTACAATCAATAATTAACCCAAAACATTTATACCAATGTGATCAATTCGGAATTTTAGTATAATAATCTGAAATTTTTCTTTTGTTAGGATATTGGATGTGAATACCTAGGACCTCCAAACGAGTGTTTTTTTACCAATTTTTTTGACTTTTTTTTGTATATTATTGTCGCAAAAGATTTCATATTCCCTTAGGAATATACTATGCATCTACCCAAGCACGCAAAAACTCATGCTAATAATATTTTTCAGTTGAACGTGGGGAATATAATCTCTAGAACATAAGACTAGCTTCAAACGAAAAATAATTTAGCTCTCATTCTCTGCGTGCCTATAAAAATGACATCCCAAGATTGGGTAGGAACCATCCAATTTTTTGAAAGAAAGATATAGATGTTCAAGATCTCAAAATCTAAATTTGTACTTGAAAATAATATACTCAGCTGAATCACCAAAACTGGAATAAAAATTTCCAAATAGCAATTTTGAAAAGTATATGAAAAGGCAATTTCTTTATGGCACAAGAAGGTCTGAATCACTCTTATCTGTCGGATTTCAAATCAGGTGGTTGTGAGTGTATCATTGATAGGTTTAAAATGTAAAAAAAATTGCTCAATCTTTGTGATACAACTCAAACTATAAAATTTTAAATTGGATGGCTAAAGGTATTTATGACCTCCTTGTAACGAAAGTAAATAGTATCTTAGTATACATTTGCTCCATGAGACCATTTAATCACTCACCATGTGATCCACTCACACTCTCTCTCACTCTCTATCTCTTGTATGTGAGCACACGGTGTCATAGTATATAATCATTATTTTTCATGATCAATACATTCATTTTTCTCACTATGACACCCTATACCAAAGTTACCATGTTGTGGTTTTCATTCTCACCATTAACCCTAATCTACTAACACCTTAAAAAAAGCTAGCTCCTACTCTACTTGAAAAAACGGGTAGGGGCTTGTCTTCTCCCACTCAATTACACCCCCCCCCCGGGCTTGTCTTCTCCCACTCAATTACACCCCCCCCCCCCGGGCTTGTCTTCTCCCACTCAATTACACCCCCCCCCCCACCCAAAAAAAAAGGAAAAATGTTATATAGAGCGGAGGCTCTAAACAATTAAATTTGAACCTACCTCCAAAATTTAACTAGAAGAAGTTGTTTGGATGCCCAAATATCTTCAAATTGATCATCTTGACATCAAGATGCATGGACATGAGAAAATAATGGATTGCAAGTTTTAGAAATAGCGTATTTTATAACGTATTTTTTATCGTTATTTTTAAAGATTTTCAAATTTTCATAGATATGTCTATCTACACTATTTTTGAAGCTTTAAACTTCAAAAATAAATATGAAACTATATTTTAAGGCTATCACAAAGATTATCAATATTGAAACCATATTTCTAGACACTATTTGAAGGTAGGCTTTAATTTGATTGTTTGGAGCCTAGGATACAAACTGCACCCAAAAAAAAAAAAATACATTCATTTTTCTCACTCACCATGTGATCGATTTGCTCTCTCTCGTACGTGTATGTGAGCAACCATTATTATCTTTCATTTTATTGTTAAAAATAAGTTTCAAAGTTTTTACCATTTCATTCCACAGTTCTCATCAAAAAAAGGAAAAAAATAGTGCTGCTTAGAAAGCGTCATTCATATATGAATATACTACATTATGAGAGAGCCTTCAATGACGCATGCAATCTGGTGCATAATACCGGTTGATATAAAATCAAAGGAAACAATTTTGGTGCGTTGTCATTGAATTGCATCCCTATAAAAAATAAAAAAAAAATGAAAAAAATATCTCAAAGATGGATTTTGGATTTAAAACTTCACAAGTCGAAAAAATTTGGCCACTACGATCATGGATATTTTAAAATAAATAGCTAAATATTAAAAATAAACCATGCCAGGAAAATCAAAATGAATGGTAAAATAATAATAATAAAAAACCAAAATTTATAATCATTTAGCTTACAACTTAAATTACTTAGGACACAGTTTCTACGAGTCCCGAACTCATACGTAGGAATATGGCAGCCCTCAATAATACATTTTTCAAATAGATATTGACCTTAACTTTTAAAGAACATAGAGTCCCCAACATGGAGAGCATTAATGTGTAAAATAAATAAAATTTTAAAAATAAAATGGTATATTTTTTTAAGAAAATATTTAAACCAATGATTTTACTTTCTTTTTTTTGGTGGGACCTTCATTACATCTATGACGAATGGCTTATGCATTATGGGATGCAAATGCAGAAATGCATCCCCAATGTATATAATATTTTTTTAATTGTTAATTGTCAAATTCATGACTGTGGTGGTTGAAAATTTCCAATTGAGAAATTTGCATCCAAAATCAATATCTAATAGGAATTCAGATGTCGGAGAGAGAGAGAGAGAGATAGAGAGAGGTGAACTTGAACAAAATAACACGTTACATCAAAATCTCACTTCACTGGGAAAAATACTCCCTTGAGAAACACAGAAAGAAAAAAAAAAAAGAAAAGAAAAGGAAAGGAAAGGAGAAGTGTGTTTTAAAGAAGAACCATGGTCATATGGAGGTTTCAAATATTTAAGCTCTCCCCTCTCCATGAAGTACTAACAAAAGCATAGCTTGACTAGAAGAAGGTGAAGGTATTTGGTCTCATGCTCCCATAGCTCCCTCCAGCATATGTATTGAGAAGTATCTCATTTTGTGTGCACCAAAAATCAGCTTTGAGACCCCCTCTCCTTAGGGCTTTGAGGATCTTATTTCTGTGTGCATACCCCATCACTGTTACCTTTTGGGTGCTCAATTCCACTTCAACCCTTTCAATCCCTTCAAACCCAACCAAGGAAATACAACAAACGAATCACTATTAAGTCTCTCTCTAAAATAAGCTCAAAGCATAAAATATATAATATATATAAAAAAATATATATTATTATTTTACAAAAAATAATACTTGTACAAACGCGCCTTGTCCTAACTTTTGAAGTATGACACTTTATACATCGATGCTCCAATGATAGTACCATGTAACACTCATAAGCTAGAGCCATTTTCGAGACGACCATCACCAAGCAGCAAATAAATTACCGACTGTTTAAATATTTGTTTAAATAATCCAAAAAACATGACACTCGAAAGGCTTTTTTCTGGTGCCCTAAAGAAGTTGGTGAAACTAGGGTAGGTGTGGAAATACATGGAAAAATATTTTTCCATTGCTAATGATGGAGAAATACATGGAAAAAGTCGAAGAAATAAACTCATTTGTATATAAATTCACTTAAATTTTGTACATGACCTTGACAAGATCAATGAAATATGCAATCATAAAAATTATATTTATAGTTTTCCTTTGGAAAATAGTTTGTAGCTTTTGGAAACTTTACTAGACCTCGATCATATTTAATGACTGTTTTAATTTTGGAAACTAACTATAAAATTCTCATAATTGGATCCGTTCTCGCAAATGCTAAGAAAATTAATAAAAATACACCTTTTATTTTGGATAGACATTTCCTTATTCTTCTCTCGCAGTTTATCCCAGCCATCTCCACTTTTAACTCGACAGTCTGCAAAACAGAAAAACACTATTCTCAGCTAAATAATGAAGGTGACGTTAAATCAAAGAAAGAAAAATCAGTGAGCTGACTTAGAATCGCCTGTAGTAGCTCAGACTAGGATAGACCTCAACCAGTTGTCGAGAACCTGGCAGTTCATCATATTGGGAACATATAGGGTCTCAGATGAGTCCGGAGTCCACAGGATAGTTTATCAGTTTTAAATTTACATATTTCTTATATGTTTTCATTATTTAGGTCGATTCATCTGGAATCTTAGCGAACTCGGGAATCTGTTGGCTGAGTGAGTGCTCGAGTGCCAACACCGCATTCTTAATTTTAACCGACTGTAACAATCTATGATTGCCAAGGTAATCACTGCAATAACAATGATAATAACCTGGAAATGATAATAAATTTGGGATCAATACTAATCATTAGAATAAAAAATGTAATGGATTTATTATTTCGTTATGCACTTGTGAGATCGTTTGTTTATTTTCCCATTTACCCCACAAAATATTGGAAGGCAAAAATAAAAGGGATAGTGACTAAAAAATGACAAATTATGTATGTAAAACATATGACATGAAAATCATGAGAGGAGAAAGGTTGGGAGCACCGACAAAAAGCATTGAAATTCAAGATTTCTCATTTTCTATTTTGACTCAAACACAAGACATACAAATGTGTACCAAATTCTAAGCAATATGTAAAGGAAACAGTAGAGAATAATATAAATTTGAATTATAACTAACGATGCATCAAAATAGAATTTCCATGAGAACATGATAAAACGCACACATTGGGAAGAGAGAGAGAGCAATCCTACCGTACCTCCATGATCAGTCAAACTTGAGGAAACAATAATGAAGAAACAGAGATGCAGAGAGATATGGAAGCGAAATGACAGGGGAGCAGTTGTTTCTTTTTGTGTTTGTGTGGGGAAGAAGAGGGTATATAGAGAGAGAAAAGGGTGGGAGTATTCATCATGGATAATCAAGAAAGCTGGTGATGGGTAGGCAAAACAAGATGAATGTTTCGTTCCCTTTCCTTTTTGAAAGTTTCATGGCATGGGAATACGTTTATTCCTTGGTTTCCTTCAGCTCAACGTTCAAGGTTGGCCCTTAAGAAAGCCTTTCATTTTCTTCTTTTTTTCTCTCTCTTCTCCTCTCTTTCTCTCTCTTGGGCGTTGGTTGAAAGGAATATTCAAACAATATCACATGGTTAGTTATTCTTTTTTACTTTAGAATTTATAGGGAGAGAGTGTGTGCTCATAAGGATTTTATGAAATTTTTGTATATTTTATTTCTATGCTTTTAATGGATAATTGTGGGGATTCGAACCCGGAATCTGATGGGGCTTGGAGATACGTTGGGCTTTTCTTTACTTGTGAATTATGATGGTTGCAAGTTTCGAATGATGGCGTTGACCGGTCTAACATGGCTTTTGGGCACAGCCCAAATTACTTTGTTACCCCCATCACACTATTGATATGAAGTTACGAACAACTTATATCTAGGTAAAGGATTGTATCTTATAAGGGAAACCTTTTTTATTTCCCCCTTATAACGTAGGAGTTTTATGTTTTCTTTTATTCAACCGTCTATATGTTAATGGAGGGCTAAGATTGCCCTAATCACAATGTCACGTTTCTACACTGTTTTATTTTTAATTTTTTTCTATAAATTGCTTTAATACCAAATTTTGGACGTCCATTCCTATATTAAACTCGCACTAACGAAAAATATATAAAAAAATATTTTTAATAAAATAAAATGATCAATATACCCTTGAAAGTTTCAATGGGTATTTTGGTTATTATATTTTATCAAAAAATTATTGTTAATATTTTTTATAGGCGCTCCCCAATGAGAATATGCCACGTACTAAATTTTATATTAAAAAAAATACTATTAAAAAAACTAAAAATAAAATACTTTGAGACGTCGGATCTAAGATCAAACAATGAGTGGCTCTCTTAATAAAAATGGACGACTGGATGATAGTAGGAACATAGAACTTCTATGCTGTAGGAGAAACGTAGAAAGCTTTCCCATCTTATAATATTATATAACTTTGGGAGGGGTTTGTATAAGGTGCCCACCTTATATTATAGATAGATGTGGTTTTGTATTAGAAATATTACTGCGGATCAAAATAACTGTAACTATAGAAAATAAAATTTTAATAACAATGCAGATGGAGTAAATATATAAACATTTGAAAATCTTAAAAATAGACCGTCCAGATGCTTGTTACAACATGTACTATTTTTTGGTCTTGGGATTTATTTATTTATTTATATACATGCAACTTGAAGTAAAGATGATCTAATGGAATGTTTTCCAACTTTGGAACATTGTTTTCTATTGGATTTTTGAGATGCACTTTACTTCTATAATGCAAAGTTACACCCTTATATAAACTTTTTCCTTTGATTTTTGTATAAGGAGATCACAATTTTTCACAGCTATTAAAAGTGAAATTCAAAGGCTAGAATTACAAAGAAAGTTTTTCTTTTGGACTTTTCATGATAATAAGCATAAATCTAGTGTAAGATATCAATATAAACATGTACCATGATATGTGTAATCATGTTTGTTACGATCGTAATTGTCATCACCGTCCAAACTATTAATGGACTGTCATGGAAGAGAGTGAGTTGGAGTACGATATAAACAAAACCCAAGTATAGTAGGTTGTCCTCTCTCCTCACCCTTAAAGTAGGACCAATAATAAGAGTCATTTACATTAGGGTGTGGTTTCTATAAAGTTGTAACCTTAAACAATCCAATTAAGGCACAACCTCCAAAGTTTATTATAACATGTAATTTTGGTGTAAAAAATGATCAAAATTATTTCAAATTTTATTTTCATATCTAATTATAAAAATTTAAACTCCAAAAGTGGTTGAAATCAAGTAGATCTATAAATATATAAAAATCTAGAAAATGAATGGTTTGGATAATGTGTTTCAAGATGCACTGATTTCAAGACTCGATTTTTTTTTTCATATTCATACATGTTGACATTGAGATGATCAATTAGAGTATTTTTCAACATTAAAATACTATTTTTCGATGGATTTTTGAAATGCACCTTTAATTCTTCATTTTAAAGTTGCAACCTTATATAAACTTTAAGGTTACATTATAATGTATTTTGGTCATTTTATAAGGATTTTAAAGTTGCAACCTTATATAAACTTTAAGGTTACATTATAATGTATTTTGGTCATTTATAAGTGAAAGAGGTTAATTTGGTCATTGTCCATTTTTCCTTTTTTCTTTTTTCTGGAAATCTCTGGATTTCGGACTGCAGGCAAACATACAAAAGAAAAAGGCCAAAGCAAAAGAAGGAAAAATCACAAATAACAAAAAAACAAAACAAAAACAAACCAAGGGAAAACATAATGGCAGAAGTAAAAAGACAAGTATGTTCTGACGTGGCACGTGATGATTGGAACTCTAGTTTGTAGAGATTTTAGGGTTTCCTGTTCCACAAGCTACTTACTGAAAACGGTGCAAACTGACACGTTTCTTTCATCAAATTCTACAAAATCTCCAATATGCCCCCTTTTTTCTTGAATTTGCAGCAAGTACGAAAAAGTTGGACCTGGGATTTGACTCTAAATATTTGTGCCTCCCTCACGTGTATACTGTCTATTTACTCCCTCAGATAAAGCGTCTAATAAGATTAATTTTAAGACTCCAAATTTTAAGAATACAACATTTTCAATCCATGTATTACCTCATTCATCATCATCATCATCTAAGTATTATCTTAATTAATTAGTATCGGCTACATGAACAATATAACCCACTAGACACTTGAAAACATTAATATCTCATAATAAAGACGGTCCAATTTTTAGAGAGTGAGATGTAAGAATTAAAAAACTTAAATTTCATTTTTTTTATTTTAATAATAATTATCTAGTGATTCCTAGGAAGTTCTCCAAATTTCAAATTAAAAAAATCCTCTCAAATAAGTCTTCCGACCAAAGGAATACATATAAACTATACTCTCGCGGGAGTATAACATAAGCGCCATTTGTTGTTATTGGTTTATAGGTGTGCCTTTTTTTTATGAGGAGTATATTAAAATTGTTATAAATACTAATTATTTAAGGCAAGCTCATGGTTTGTGGGATGCATATATTCAAAAATATATATGTCTATTTCCTTATGTCATTTTAAATTATGGAAATTATATTTTGAGTGATAAAATTCGGCAGAAATACAATTGAAAAGACGTTGTATCCCTTGAGTGAAAGAAAAACAAAAAAATCTAGATACTTGAGTATTTATATGAGGAAATATTTATACAAGGTGTGAACCTTATCCGTAGAAATAATTGCACCTCAAAACTTCCATGAAAAGGCTGTTTTGTCTTGGAAATCCACAATTTAAGATCTTGAGCTCAAATATATATATATATATATATATAAAATAATTGAGTAATGATACTATAAGACCCTCCCACACCTATGTGAGTATGACTTTAAAGGATTACCATTAAATTTTGACACATATATCTACAAAAGTTATCAATGAACCTATTCACCCAAGTCCCATATTCATATGATAACTTTTATAGAGATCTATGTCAAAATTTATTGGTGATCCTTTGGGGTCCTACTCACATGGATGTGAGAGGGTCTCATAGTGTCATTACTATATATATATATATATATATATATATATATATATATATATATATATTGTATATATATTATTATATATAGTAGTAGTATATATATATAGATA